CCAGGTTAACAGGAGTGGACTTGGAGCGCTGTCTGTACACTGCCTCATCACATACTGACTACACTTCTCTGCTCAATGTCACCACAACCACAACAATAAACACTTGGACTGTAAAACCCACTAGTAGTACTGTAGTCATCCCTATTAGAACCCATGACATCACTGTCTCTAGATCCAGTTTTATAGAAGTTCTGACCAGTTTTCATTCTATCTGATCCTCTGATGGATCACCTTTATGAACTGGATTAGCTCGGTAAATAGTCACCAGCATCTGTGCTCATTAACATCTGAAGGACACAAGCAGATTAGAAACAGAGCAAATTATTCTTTGTCAGAGAAGCTGAGCAACCAGACGAAACTGGAGTTGGCTTCTGATTCAGGAAATCAGTAAAGGGCCAAATATTTCCCTACCTTCATAATTTTTAATCTACTCTAATTAAAAAACTACAACACCTAGACACATCTAACCTGGACCAGATTATTCTAATCTACTTGTAGAATAATTAAAATCAGCTCTGGGATTTGTGAAGATTATTCTAAACTACTAAACCCCACCTCTACTGGCCCTCAGTTCCCACGTAGCCAGAGGTCCTCTGAGCAATGAGGGCCCTCAATGTGACTATCTGGAGTCTGTCTCTCGTTATCCAGTCCTCTAACGATCTTCTGTAGCCCTTTAAGTTCCACTCTAGCGGCCAAACAGCAGCTTCCAGTAGTCCATGTTAGTGAACAGCTAGCTTAGCTTCACTCTAACTCAAGTTCATCCAGCAACAAAGAAAACAAACACACAGCCCAACAGCTTCTCCTTGAAACTCTACTGTGTCCTGCTAACCTGCAGACTGGATATTAAAACTTCTCCTGACAACAAGTCTGAGCTAACTCACTTCCACATGGGCTAACTGCTCCTCCTCTCCTATCTCCTCAACCAAACTCTGAGCTGAGGAGGAGGAACCTGCTGCTGCCATCAGTGTTTTATTGTTTTTAAGCTTTTATTGTTGTCTTCTTAAACATTATTAGGATAATTACATTGGAGGTGCGCAAGTTTATTACACCTAGCTATCGGCTGCCTGTTGCGCTTAGAACTAACATTTTAATCTAATTAAGACAGTTCCTCTGCCTAGATATACAGTTATAATCTTCCTTCTGTATGTGGCAAAGATTTGGAATTGGAATGAGAGCAGTTTCCTTCAGCTAAGAACAAAGTGTAATATGTTGATAAAGCTGCAGCCATGGATGTCTAATCATTTGCTAATGTGTATGATGTGAAATAAGATGTGGCAGGCTGGAGATGTATAAAATGCCTTTTTAACTGTTAATCAGGCCAACTCCTGAGAGGTGAGCCCAGAGGGGAGCAGCTGTCTTCTGTAAACTTTAAACAATTTCTCTGAAATGATTAAGATTACAATTTCTATCAGAATGTGTTGTCATGTCTTTTTGGTTATTTAATACAAGTTATGAAGTGTTATTTACAAAGTTTGTCCAGAGTGGGGAGAGGGGAGGCAAAGATGGACCGGACATACAGCTGCGGCCACTCAGAGGTGAGAAGATTCCCTTTAAAATATCTAAATTTTTTTAGGGGGATCTTTCCCGGGTTCGGTGGGCTTTGGGTTCTCAAGACACCAGAAAGTATGTAAGAAAAATATTGTGTTTATTTTTTTCAGCTCTGTATCTACCGAGGACCAATCGGAACTTCTGAGAAAATGTTTTATCTCACCAGTGAGCATGAAATACTCAAACATTACGCTCCCGGTTACTTAGATTGTATTAGATTCAGCCTTGTACTGGGACATTTTGATTCCTGTAGCTCTTAAAGATTAACAAATTATTTAATCAATATTACATTTCCTCTTGAATGGAGGAACACCTTTTTGACACTGTGTTTCCTTCTGCCTCTATGTGATACTCCTGATGACACAGGTAAAAACTTATCCTTCAGGGGGTGTGGGGCATTGTTAATTTCATCAACCATGACAATGACAAAAATATTTCGCCAACACCCCTTTTTCCCGTGGCAATGACGAGACCATAACGAACAAAAATTGTTTCCCTAAAATAAAAATATGACAAAAATAAAAAATAATTTTCGTCAACAAGACTAAGACAGACGAAATTTACGATCCATTGATGAATGTACATTAAGAAATGTAATTGTGATTAATTTGTAATTGTAATTGTTCTTCCCTGCCTTGTTGAAGGCAGGGAAGAACAATTACAATTACAAATTAATCACACAGCAAATTTTAAGTAACATCTGAGGAGTCAGCAGCTGACATATGGAAGAAGGTAATGAATGTGTGCGTGCGCGCACGGGTGCATGCATGTGAATGTATATGTGTGTGCGGAGGCACACATGTATGTGGGTGGGTGTGTGTGGGTGTGTGTTTGTGTGTGTGCCTTCCTGTGCCTGTATCTGTCTGTCTCTCTTTCATAAGAAAGATGTTCTACCGATACTCTGGATATTAATCATTTAAATTTCCTCCTCACAGCTAGATACCTGACACAGTGACACCACAGCCAAATCAGAGGTCAGGGAGGGAAGGGAAGTCTCCTGCAGATATGCACCCCCACCCCTGACGCCAAAGAGCAGAAAACCCTGGAGAACTCAATGGCAAAGTGGATTGGGCCTGGCCTGCCTGCAAGGACCGTTGAGGATGAAGACTTTGTGGATATGATGAAACAAGCCGACAAATGGTTCAGTCTGCACAGTGTGATATATGTTAAAAAGAGAATCAGTGTTTGGAGAAGTTATATTCTGCACAGTGTTATATAAATGAAATAGAGAAAAAGAGAAGCTGTGTGGAGAATTTTTATTCTGTACAGTGTGATATAAATGTTTAAAAAAGCAGCGTGTGGAGAAGTTCTATTATTTACAGTGTTGACTAAAATGACTAAAATGAAAAGAATGACTTAAAAAAAGACAAAAATAACAGAGGGTAACCTTCAGTTAGCGCAGGGACAGATGAGTTATGAGACTTTGAGTTAGCTGAAGAATACCTTGAAGGAGTCCGGGTTTCTCTTTGAGAGAGGTTACTGTTGGATCCAGAGACTGTTTGTTCAGCAGAGTCCAATAACTGTTTCAGCGTCTTACTTCTGACTATGAGGGTAGACCTTGATTTGGGTTTCCAGCTCTTAACCAAGAGCTGTGGGGGAATCCAGAGAAGAGTCTTCAGGTTTGGCTCACGAGGGTTGGCTCGGCAGGTTAAGCTCATCCAGAGCTTCACGAACAGACAGGATTCCAAACTAGATCAACACTGCGGCGTTGAGGCAAGGTCTGAAGGCAGGTT